TTCCTGCTTATCTATTCTAAAATTTATAAATATAGCAATTACAAAATAAATTATAAGAAAAAACACAAACAATTTTCCATTGTTTGACTTGACTATTACTGATAAACCCATCCATTTCCTGAGTGAAAACTACTTTATTAGCAGTTAAGGGTATCACATGTGTTGGTTTTCTTCTCCTTCATCTGCCTCTGGACTTTAAAAACTCCCCAGAAATTCTAAGCATGCTTATATTTCACAAAATATAGAAACATATCTGTGAGGTTCAGTACTCATTCAGTCTCAAGGGTGTTGTGAAGTTTAAATTAATTAATGTCTCGTAAGCAGCCTGAAATCCTCAGATGAAAGGATCTATATGGGCCAAATTCTGATCTACCCGATGTAGCTCACATCAAAAGAGGCCCAAACATATTCTGGCGCAAAAGATACCAATGAATCATAATAATTTATTATTATACTACAAAATCAGTTCAGTTTACAGCACAAAGCAGAAATTTGCTAACTGCAAACACTGCAAATCCACCGCGGGATTCGAAAGCCTTGGTGATTTCCTTCTGCCTCCATTAATTAAGATACTGCAATCAAAGCTTAGATGACTTGTTGGTAACGTGTGAACTGGAAAGGAACCAAGATCCCCTCTGAGAGAGGTCACCTGTGCAGGAACAGCCTCAGACAAAACTCCTCCTTAGAAGGACAGAAACAGATTTGGGCAGATGCAGACCTGTCAAGACTCATACGTTGAGGGTAAGATTTAGACAGACTCTCCCCTCATGTTCCCTAACAGAAGGATGCTCCTTCCAGCAAATTCAATGGGCACTGCCCACCTGTGCCTGCAGAAAGAAAGGATGCTGTTCCACAGTTCTCATTTTTCTGACCAAAACTGTGCTTTAGATCCTAAACTACTAGAGAGCAAAATATCAAAAATTGCATTAAAATACCAGGTTCAGAAATTAGAAGATATAAACCAGTACTCAAGATGTTTCTACAACCTGCCCAATATGAGCATGTGTGACAGGTAATGCCTTCATTCTCTACAAGTTAGGGAAAATAACATTATCTCTTTTTACAGGCCTGGAACTGACATACATTGTTAATGACTTCTCACAGGTAATCTGTGAGACAGCAAGGAATTCAACACGGGCCTTCTGTATCCTAAAGTTAAAACTATCTTTAAGAATATGCCAAGAGCTAATTCTTCAGACTTCAGTCCTGCTGTGTCATGAAGTTAGGAAACCTCCTTGGTACACAAAAATATTCTGTAATTCAAAGCCAAAATGCAAAGGCTATGCCAGTGGCACCACTTCTGTTCTCCTCACCGTAAAGATGTCTGCTGGGGCGCACCAAAATTTAGAAGGGGGAAAAACAGAGGCCAAAATATTCTGCCTAGGCTTGCTCGGTGTTGGCTGCAACTGGATTAAACCATAGCAACACTAAGACTGATTATTTTTTCTTTTTTCCCCTCCCATACTAATCATAGAATCATAGAATGGCATAGGCTGGAAGGGACCTCAGAGATCATCTAACCCAACCTCCCTGTCATGGGCAGGGACGCCTCTCAACTAGACCAGGCTACTCAAGGCTCCGTCCAACCTGGCCTTGAACACCTCCAGGGAGGGGGCAACTAGAAAGCTGGTATAAAAGTCTATCAGGCTAACTGTAAAAGCAGTGTATCCGAGGACTCAGCTGTATTCCTCAGTGTTTCCAAAACCAAACTTTAAAATGAAAAGGGAGAGGTTTGTTTTTAATAATACTGCTTTTATATCATGCACTTGGAAGAAGCCATTAAAGTTATCTGAAGTAGAAGGGATATTTTGACCAAGGGAGAAATGCAGAAGTAAACTCCCAAACTTTGTAATTAGCTGACTAGTCATTAAATTAGCACAAATCACCTAGCTACAACAGATATCTTTCACTTCAAATATTGCAACAGTGCCCTCAAAATGTGAAAAGACAACTTTAAGGAAAACAGACTATGTAACGTAACATAATTTGCTATCTACTGTGAATTAACGTAAATATTATTTATTGCTATAAATTTTAACTAGAAGTAATCACTTTGCCCTAAAGCGTCAATTCTCAAAGGTGAGATTACACTATTTTTCTATCAGCAATTCCCAATTACGCTCAAACTTCTGCGAGAAAAATTAATTTCTGATTACAATGAGATCTAAGATTTAAAATTGGATATTTTTGTCTCATGCATCACCATCAGTAATAAAGGTTGTGGGTGTCCAAATGTTTCCTAAATGACACCTATGCATGTCAGGCTCCATTCAGTTTCTTCCTCCTATGTCACATCCTCATATCCCCTCTTAGCAATAATACTGCGTTTTTTTAATCAATAGGCCTTAAGCATGTTAGAAAGACGAGTCAGTATCAATATCCTGTTATTATTCCTACTGCCTTCCAAAGATTTTTGTAATTCTTTAGAACCTAAATAAACCATTCTGATGATAATGAATGAAAAGAAATTCATCTCTCTCATCTACATTCATTTACACATCTACAAAGAATAAAAGTTATGACAAATACAGTACACAAAATTTTAAATCCCCAGCGAAACACAGCTGCTGAGTAAGGTGATGTCTTTGTCACAAAATCAAAAAATGGATAGCTCACTAAATGTCTATGGATAGTCAACAGAGAAAAACCCTATGACTATGAATAAAATACATAAATAACAGATATCAGAGTCAGTATGACAGCCTTGGTAAACTCTGAAAGAGGAAATCACTAAAACAGTAGATTAAAATGAACAAATATATACAGTCAGCACTAAAATGCACAAGAGCGAAATGCTGGTATTTCCTATATATTCTCATGTAACTTACCATTTGTTGATAAAAGTGAGTGAGCTGCATTTTGCTGTGGTAGCCACTTGATCTTGTTTATTTTTTCTTCTATCTCCAAGCTCTTCAAATAATCAAATTCAGGTTCATGGCTCTGGAAAGTGCTGTAAACATTGTACTCCCCCTGATTGTAAGGCTCATTTTTACTCTGTGGAGAATAAGAACAACAAAAACATGTGGTTTATGACAGCAATATATCTCCATCTCTTAGGAAAGGCGTATAAGCAGCCTGATAAATATAAAAATATTGAAAGTGTAATTTAATTTCTCATTTAAAACATGATATTGACAGATTTGTTTCTACAGGAATGACATTTCCTGTAAGTATTGAAGTAACACTTAATAAAAGGCAGACTTTTTGAAGAAGTGTCAATTATTCAGGAAAGCTTTCTACAAAAGATACTGCAGATGAACTGAATTTAAAAGTGAAACATAAAGGTATCACGGCAAAGGTCTTGCTTTGAATGGAATGGTTTCATCAAATAGGCAAAAGCTATTAAAACAATGTAGAAGTAAAGCAAAAACAACATTCTTTTTTCTTAGCTTAGAATTTTGGAGCTTTGTTCAGAACAGCAAACTTCCAAGTAAAAAATCCTTACCCTCTTTCACTTCCTCTCCAAAGAGGTGACGTTCTGTTTTACTGAATCTTGAGATTATAAACAAGTTTGTTAGTTAGATACAATTAAATTATTAAAAGTAAAGCCTAGTTTTAGCAAGCTATTAAGGACTACATTGGAAACTCACATACCTCAGGTTCCCTTTGGAATATAACAACCCGACCCCCCTTGTCACCAGTAGCCAGCAGTTCTCCAGTGTGGTTGAACTCAACTGTAGAAATAATATCAGCTGGAGGAAAAAAGAGAAAAAGGGCAAATTTTAGACTGCTAGTACAACACAAAGCCTTTAGAAATACCAAGCACTCCACAAAAAATGCAGCAACAGAGAAATTTGAAGGAGTACAGATGAATTCAACAGCAAGTCACTAATGCAAACAGGCTGCATGCCGTTACAATCTGAGGTTGCTACATGATGAAACAAGTGCAAACGTAACAAGGCAAATTTGTGTTTCCAGCACATCTGCAGTTTGGGAGTGGAGATCTCTGGAGAAGAGGACTGCTTCAAGAAGTGCAATCTAAGGCTGCTACAAAGCTTTTTTTCAGTACTGGAGATAGTAACAGCATCAGCCATCCTGCTATTTCCTCTAGCAAGGACCAATATAACATCTCAGTCCTGTTGCACGCATTATTTATTCTTCACCTTTCATGAGGGTTTTAATACAACGCCCTAGCACTAGTTTTCTCAAATGTGTGTTTGAGCCAAGAGTGTAAAAGCAAAATACTTGTATAGCCTTGTCCTACCACAGAGGAAAGAAGGCAAAACCAGAACTGCTCACTGCACAATGCTGGCAAGAACACACTCAAATCATTTTTGTAAATCATTTCAGCATCACAAAAATATGTCCTCAGAAGATAAAAAGATCCCAGTCTCTTATTTTTCTATCTTTCAAGAATTCCCTTTCCCTAAGTAATTGCATCAGCTTAAACAAGAAACCTCATCAAAACCTGAGGCCAGTCTTGAGCACAAATTACTAGACATCAAGATGAGAAGGGAGAAAGACTGTAGGAGCAAAAGAACTGGTTCTTCTGCTTATATGACAGTAAATGCTAGAATCCTAATCCACAGTCAATCCTACACTATTAGCATAATTTAAATTAAAATGCCTAGTGCAATAGTAAATTAAGAAGCCATCACATACACAATCACAGACAAATGCAGGGTATTACTCAGAGATTGCATGTATGAATCCTCTATAATGATCAGTATTCACTCATCAGAAACATGGGCCAGATTTTTAGAAGCCTTAGTAGTTAGCAGCTCCCCCTCAGGCACAAAAAGCTGTGGTTTTCAAACAGGTTCATCATCCATCAGTTTATACTGAGAACAACAAGGCGACAGTGGGCTAAGCTCTTTTGAAAACCTAGCCCCAAATGAGTTCACTAAAATTCAAAGGAATTGAAATAACAAGTGGATGTACCATTTACTTGATGCATTTTATGAATTGAAAACATCTGTTCCTATTATTCTTTTAATAAACTAGCAGTTGAGTGTTAGAAAGCTTCTATTGCCAGTAGCTCTCATCAGCAACACGCCCATCCAAAAGCATGATTCTTACTGGAAGGTTATAAACAATTCACTATCTTAAAAAGGAAAACTTTACCGTAATTATAAAATATCTTTTAATTCTTTTAAGAAATCTTCACCATCAAATTGTTCTCCTGTCTGGGAAAAAAAAAAAAGCAACAAACCCAAACTTTCCTCTTTTTTTCCTCCACACACTACATATATAAAGAAGGAAGGGAGAATCATAAATCATGAAGCATGTATGTAAATTTCATTTTTGCTGAATAAAACGTATGGATGTGTAGACTTTGAGAAAAATGTAACATTACGACTTATAATATTTTAGGCCTGAACCCAAAATTTCTCAAAGTTAATGGCATTTGATTTTTATGTGACTTCCATAGACTGTGTATTTTAAAGGTAATAACCTCAAAAAAACTGGTGTTATCAGAGTACAGGCAGAGAAGAGAGTCTCTGCTTATGGTTGGTGATGCTTTGAGGCTGGGGATGGGTTGAGTCTCATCTAAAAAACTGCCTTTTTTACAAAATCTAAAAACCTAATCAACTCTTCTGGCATGTAAAGTTCATTTGCAGTGCTTCCAGTGGATGAATATGTCTTGGCTATTTTTATCTTATCATGCAAAATTCATACTGATACTAGGTGTGGACTCCTGCTTATAAAAAAATATCTGCATGATTTTACTCATCTAAAGCTGTACCTTACACAAAAGAAGGGTAGAACTGCAGAAGTCTCACACTGAAAGTTCTTTTAGAATGGAGACTCTTAAGTGTGCAATGGGAGAGAAGGAGAGATGGAAGGTATTATCTATTAAAATATGTGTGTATTTGTGTGTGTATGTGTGTGCAGGTGTAACGTACACATGATTTTCCCAAGAGGTCACAAAAGAATCAGATAAAATAACTGTGCAAAAGGAACGAATGGCATTTGAACTTGTATGTGTGAATACACTTGCTGTTGGCCTGGAATACTTCCATGATAACATGAAATACTCTTCTCTATGGTCACAGAATATTATATTGCACTTTACAGAGGGTATCAGCCAACGTCCAGTAAAGTCCACAGGAGTATTTGCACAGATTTCAATAGTAACTGAACCAGGTTTATAATAAAACAACTCTGCATTTTGTTATTATATTGCATTTGTCATTAAAATCTTGTGTGCAGTTAAGTGACTATTGTTTAAAGAAAAGCAGTTAAAACACTAAGTATCCGTGGGCAATGCGTAATGATGTTGTTCTGACGCAAAATTTGCTCTCCCCCGCAAGGTGTTTCTTCCAGATGTATCTGTCCTTTCTATTAGAAAAACTAATTTTGAGCTGGAAACTACCTATCATTTTTAAATTAACTTGTTCTGAAAACGAGTAGATCCAATATTCTGACCTTAGAGGCTATGCAGTTTGTTGGTAAAAAAAATTATCTCTGAATTGGAAAATCACTTTTATTGATCCTGTAAATAACAGCTGAAAACAACAGCCA